GCTGGCAACAAAAACCATGAGGCCTACTCAAGTAAAACAGTCATCACACTAATGCATTTGGCCAGAAAAAGCAAGACTAGATTACCCAACAGAATTTTCATATGAGTGAGATAATCATTTCATTTCAGTAACAAGTATACATGTACTTGAGTGAAAACTGATGATTTGTGTTCATGAATATGAACATTGCAGCTTAAATTTAGGGCTCCTTGGAGGAATATTCCAAGTTCAATACTCAATTGACAGCTATTGTTAAACATTTCTTGATCATCACAATTAATTTAAACTCTTTTCTTTTTATAGTCTTGATAATCACAATTAATTTAAACTTTTCTTTTTATAGTTTCTAGTTTATTTGCAAAAACAGATAACTGTTTTTTTTTTTTTTTTTTCAAAAATCATTTTTTATTATATCGTGTTTTTGTGTTTTATTGTGTTAGCTGTATTTTTTTTGTTATTTTTTAACCTAATGAAAATAACTCAACTGCAGTTTGATTGAGATTAATTGGAATGCACAATGAAAAAACGTATCTGTTTTCTGTTTTTTTAGTTATCTGTTTTTGCAAATGAACTCTTCAAAAAAAAAAATCTAGGTTGCAATGAGAAACTTACAATGCAAATGAATGGGGCCAACTTGTAAGTTTAAAAATAAACATTGTTTATACAGTATATGATAACACTATTGCAGTGTGAAAGAATCACTTACTAAACTTGTGAAATGCATAAAGTTTTAAAGGGGTCATATGATGCGATTTCAATTTTTCCTTTCTCTTTGGAGTGTTACAAGCTCTTGGTGCATAAAGAAGATCTGTAAAGTTGCAAAGACTAAAGCCTCAAATCCAAAGAGATATTCTTTATAAAAGTTAAGTTAACCACACCTACCTAAAACGACTCGTTCTAACACGCCCCCACATATCTACGTCACTATGTGGGAAGATTTGCATAACGCCGCCCAAATGTTCACGCAAAGAAAGAAGGCGTAACTTTTATTCTCACTGTAGTTTTGTTGCTGCCGCCATGCCGTGAAGACACGTGTGTGTGTGTGTTTTGTTGTGAAAGCAAAACTACTTTGTTTGGCCTTCCAAAAGAGGATGATATCCGCTTCGTCATGCCTAGAGCTGATCCGTGCTGGTCGCTGAGGAAATACATCAACTTCACGCTGTGGATCGCCGGATCGGCTTTAGAGGAGAAACAATAATGTACAGTATGTGGAAAATAATGTGTTTTTTTTTTTTACCTTAAACCGCATAAACACATTTCATTACACCAAATAATGTTATTTTTAGCAACATCATATAACCCCTTTAAAACTTAAATAATACACAAAATAATTTAAAGAATTTAAAGAATACACTAAGTTCTCCATAACCTTGATTTTTGCTTCTCATAACTTTGAGAATGAGGGTCAAAATAAATTTTTGTGGTAATCAACAAATGCTACAGAAACCTAATGCCATGCAACTACGAATTCAGATCGACAAATATCGAAAGCTGTCAAAAACAATAAACTGACAAGAATGAGACTTTATTGGATTTATGTGGAGTTTATAACACTAAGATAAAGGGCAGTTTACACATACAATTACAAACAAACGTGATTTGTATGAGCAACATGATTACCTGTACAATAGTTCATATATGGTTGGTTTGTGTATTCTCAGTGCATAGGCATTACACACAGAGCAACTGTTGCACAGCACAATAGTATCTGAACAGGCTGAAACGGAGTAAGGCTGTTTTCTTAAGAGACTGAAAATATACCGTGTTTACATTACGTGAATGTAAAAACCCTCTGGGGAGAAGAATGATTTCTAATGGAGCACGGCCAAAGTCCAAAGGGCCCCCTGCTGCAATAGCTGGACGATTTAGTGCACAGTACCACCCCATCTGTCCATCCAACCGTCCGCATGCATGACACTATGTCCGACGACAGTTTTTAAAGCGAGTACTTTTTCTTTAACTGTAAACGAGAGGCACTTTGTGGCAACCACAGGCATCATAACAACATATTGCACAAATCAGCTAAGAAAGAGTGACGTGAAACATATACACTGGCACCTTGAAGACGTTTTGTTTTTCATTAAAGCTGAAAATTAATTTTTCATGCTGCCTGTGAGCTCCACACACCCGTGCCACGTACAAGATGTATGAGGGTCTGCGTATAAAGGTACTGTGGCTAAATTGTCAAAATGTCAAGGGATGTGTCTCGTTGCAGAGACGATCTGAGGCTTAAAAGGATAGTTCACCTAAAAATGAACATTCATCATTTACTCGTGCGCAAAAAAAAAAATCTGGTGGTGAAATTGCTAGTAAATGTCATAAATAACTACTAAGAAATGGCACGTAACAATTAAATTAAAAAATTAAGTATAAAGACTGAAATAGTATTTTCTTGTCAAATATACTCCATTTTTAGTGTTGTTCAAAACCTGTATTTGTCCATATAATAAAATGAATGGTGGAACCCAATTGACTTTCATTGTGTGGACAAAAACAGCTGAAACATTCTTCAAAATATCTTGTTTTTGTTCATACGGGTTTGGAAAGACACAAGGGTGAGTAAATGATGACAGAATATTTGGGTGAACTATCCTTTTAAATTCAAGTTCATCATGTGATACTCTTCAGTAGAGTCACACATTAAACCGCTAAACATTTAAAACACATCAGCGTACATTTAGAGGGACTATGGGAAATACCTGCAGAGGGTCATTGCCAGAATGTGAACGAATACTTTCATAAATAGTCGCTTTATTCTTTTTTTTTACTATTTTATGCTTTCTTTAAAAAAAAGAAAAGAAATTCAGTCAATAAAAACACATTTGATTCTATTGGGATGCACAGAGACAATATTAACGTCTTTTCATTTCACCTCTATTCTATTACTTTTGATTGCTGTAAAGTATTTCCAGAAAAAATAAAATAAAATACTGTGGACCGCTGACTGAAACCCTGCAAAGACCTGTAACAGTGCAAATGTCTAGTACAATATGTTGCTCTATTATAGTAGCTTTAAATAAGTCAGTGCTTGGGCAGAATGGTAGGTATCAAAGCAGTAGAAGAGTAAGCATTGTCAACTTCAAGTAAGGCAAAGAATACCTCCCGTGGGCCCTGCCTCCTCCTCGGAGCACAAAGAAAATCATAACACAAAAATTATTAAGCTTAATTTTGGCAAGTTTTCAGTGATGTGATAAAATGTAAACAAAATGAGAATCCTTGATAGGCTTGCTTTTATTCCTGGATTGGTTAGTGTACAATCTCATAAAGGAAGGCCCGGTCTCCTCCTCATGTCAGGGAAACGTATTCTTTCTCTAAAGGAAGGCGAGATGTACGGTGTGCAGTGGGCTGGTGAGAAGAGTGAAGCCTGAACGTTAACAGTACAAGAAAGGCAGCTTACTCACTACCCTTAGTGAAGATTCTTGCCCAAGAGACTAAGATGTTTTTTTGTTTTGTTTTTTGGTCTGGCCACATCAGCCAGATGTTAAAAAAGATTTGGCATGCTTAAAAGAAAATTATACATTTAAATATTCTCATATATAGGGCTTTAATATTTCTGAAGCAAGCACAAGACTGTGTAAAATCCGTAGCTGCACTATGCTCATTCCAAAGGGAACGAGGCCTGTTCAAGAATAAGAAAAGAAAAAAAACGAACTAGCTAGTGAGGGACATCAAATTGTTAGAAACTAACAATGCACCACAGTGCGTTTGAATGCTTGCACCATGAGGTTCTTTGCTCCAAAATGACTGTACTATACATTGAGAGTTTAGTTTAGCAAGCACCATTGCTGGATAAATGATCCAGATTTCATTAGATCATGCACGATAAAGCTACAAACATGTTATAGGGAGCCAAAAATCTGATGTCTGACACAGCCAGGAAGGAAGAAAGAAAAACAATGTAAACGCTGTTGAAATCTAATCAAAACTTGCATCCAAGATTGATACATTCAGAAAAGGGCTTCTCCATGTTGACATGCATTACGCGAGATGCTGTACACCATCAAACCCGTTCTGACCAGAGATCGCTGTAGTGAACAGTGGCCACAGAGCCCTCAAGCAAGATTGATCCGTATCCCACAACATACTGAAGAGGAATTTTAGGACTGATGCTACCTTGAGCTCAAAGCATGACCCTTTAAGAAGCCAAACAGAAAACAAAAGCATTCTGTGACAGCTGATTTAAACAAGTGCCAATTTTGAAAGGGAAACTTGTAAATTATATAAATGAAGTGCCACTGAATGTCTGTTTAGAGATTCAAATCCCATCTGCAAAAGAACGAGTGAAGGCAATTTCTTCTTCCCAAATACAATCAAATTGTAAATGACGTTAGAAACCTTTTTTTTTTTTTTTTTTAGAAAAACATTGTATACTATTTATTCGACAACATGGAAACTGATTCCAATAACATGCACACCTTCGATCAACATTATTGCAACACTGGTTTCCCTGTTGTGTTGTATGTATATTTGCATTAAAAAAAAGTAGGATTATAATAATACATGGTGGAGCTATATGTTGTGTTTTCTGCCAAGGTGTCATGTAGTTTAGTAGAATCATTACCACCTCCATTCTAGTAGTAGTAATAATGATGAAAGCAGACTAAAAAATGGCAAGAGACGCAGTTTTCACTGCACAGCAGAGCCCGACTGACACGTTGCGGCCTTCCAGCAGCATGAGTAGCGTTTCACAGTAGGTAGGACAGACTAGAGAAGGACAGACATGGGGGCATGAATGTTGATTAAAGCACTGGCCTAGGTTTAATCAGGTTGATGGAGCAGCGAATTCTGAACTCCACTGAATTTCTCCCATAAACAATCTCCCATCCTGACTGGGTTTCCTTTCTTGTGTTACGGCATGAACATGTATTTACATAATAGCTACTGACGCTGTTTTCCACGGAACATCAGTGTTGATACTTCATGGAGCAGGGTGAATGAACAAAAGAAAAATTGGTCAGCATTTTTGTCCCTATAACTGGTGGCATTTGTGTGACGTGTGTCCTAATTCTGCTTGGGGGAAAAAGGAGAGAAAAAAAAAAAAAAAATGGGGTGGAAAAACGTACTTGCTTTCAGTTCATATTCAAGTTTTCTCCTTTATACAACTCTATTACGTATGGTTTCTTTTTTCTTCCCATAAAAATATTTCAAACTTTAGTAATCTGTTCTTCATCATACTGTTCATTTTCTGGGTCCGAGTCTGTTGTGTCCGAATACCGGTAATGGTCCGGTTCATTATCGCTAACATCCGGTGTTACAGATGTAGAAGTGCTGGCCTCCGAGTTGGATGGTTCCTCCACTGGCTTTGTGAAGTACAGCTTCACCTAACGGGAAAAAACACATTTTAGCCATTTGAACATTTGTAAACTGGTGGTAGGCTCATTTGGATGAGCCTGCCAGCAGTTTAACACCTTAATGAACAGCAATTGGAAGGCGATGAGCAAAAGTGCTTAGTACACCTTGAAGTTTGGAGAGAAGTATCTGTTGGCTTTATCCTTGTTGGCTTTATCCAAGTTGTTCTTGGTTAAAGTCAGGATTAGATAATCCTTGTCATTCTCTCCCCGTTCCGTGGTTTGGATCCCATCCCGTTCCTTCACTAAACCTCCGTTTTCAACCTTCTCCAAGCTCTCCTCTGGTCCAGGGATGAAGAAGGTGTTCACCCAGAAGTGAAACATCTTATCCTGGTTAACAAAAACAAATCATATTATAAAATAAGGCTTCATTTACAACTCAAGTTTTTATTTGTATATCGCTTTCACAAAACACATTATTTCAAAGCATCTTTAGAAGTTCATTATGGTAATGTTTATAATAGCCTTATAATCCACACTGAGCAGTTTAGTGTTGAGTTTACAATGATATAAACAATTGGTCAGTTGAGATTTGCCTTGTAATATCTGTTCTGACATGAGACTTAAAAGACATAATTAATGATCTCAGATACAGCCTGTGGTTTACACCCATCTCTTTCATTAAAGTATTTAAGTCAATATATAATTGGGGGGAAAAAAGTAGAAATTACTATATGGTTATGTAATATATAATACATTAAACTCAAATGTCCAGAAAAAATAACTACATAATGATATATCATTACTGTGATATATTATTACTCATGCTACGATAAGATTTTTTCATACCGCCCAACCCTGTTAGAAGCCATTTTGGTGCTGATGCCAGACTTACTCATTTGTTATGAATAATCTTATCTTTTGCTTCAATCAAGTTCAAAATAAAAGTTATTGTAATAAATTAAGATTAAGTACCTTATTTGTATTTATTCATTTTCATTTCCCTCCATTTGTAGCATTTAGAGCACATTTATCACTAAATAATCAAAAGAATTTATATATTTTTTTATAAAGCATAATATATGCCATTATATTCCATATGCTAAAACAACATTTAGGTTGAATTTCAAGCATAATAAGCACTATATTGTGATCTATAATGATACCATGATATAAATTATTCATACTGTGATAAGATTTAGGACATACGACCCACTCTTACCACAAAATTCCATCCCTAAAAAAACTGCATGAAATACTGAAGTAAAAATTCATCTTAATCTTCACTCTTAACTAACATTACAACATTACATTTACTATTATGCAGCTATAAAGTAAAGCAATAATGATCTGTAAGAGCACTATGGGCCATTTGGGAACTGACACGTACCTTTTTCATCATCTTGTTCTGCTTGTGGAAGAACTCCACCTTGATGTCTCCACACACAGGCAGCGGCTGCGGAAAATCAAAGTACATGTACTTCTCCTCTCGCCTTGTGTGCGCTGGGTTAGACGTGTGGATTTTCACCTTCAGCTGGTACACCACAAACTGAGGATCTGCAAAATAAAACAATGTGTAATTGCTCTACCAGCCTTGTGCGACAAACAAAATGTGAGCTTATGCATATCTGTTAACATAAAACAGAAGAAAAGCATAGAGGAAAACAACAGGATAGAAACAGCAGAAATATTGATACAGAAAAGACAAAATAACAGTGGCACGCTAAGGGCCCTATTCTGAGAACAGCGGACCCTGGAACACGCTTCCCATCTCCCTTACCCAAAAGTGGCGCTAGCGGCTTTTACTTGAACATGGCAAACACATTTTACAGAGCAACACTGGCTAGGCTAACAGAACTGAAAATGAGAAACATTTTAGAAAAAGCTGATGTTACCCCAATGCCAATTGGTTTTTCTGAACCCATGCGGAATCTGCTCACTCTTGCTTTTTACAGCAGAATCCCCTTGGAGAAAAAGAAGGAGATTAAAGACTGTCCAGTGGCCTGGCCAGAGCAAGAGCAAGAGAGGGCACTATGAGGGGAAGAAACGTTTAAACGGAGCTAAAACACAACACACACTCATGCAACACACAGAGCTAGACTGGGCTGAACTAAAATATTAATGGCCATCAAAGACACTATGGAGGAAACCATAAGTGCAACACCACTGGGAAGCCCTCCTGCGGTGAGCTACACTCTTAAAAAAATAAAAAAATAAATAAATTCACATAACAGACGTTACAAACATACAAGTACAAAAATAAAATATAATGGAGGATAAAGTTCAGATTTCACACAGCAGGTTGTCTAAAGCATTATGAATGATCCTGTCCAGAAGCTGTGGACCGCGTAGAGCAGGCTTGGTCAGTGTCACCAAGAGTGTGTTCAGAATAGGGCCCGGAGGAGGTACAGTCAGAGACAGAGAGACATGGAAGCTACAGCGCCACTGGACAAACTCGCACTCCAGGTAAGGAATCGGCCTGGAATATCTTTACACTTTCCTGCCACTTTTCTTTGAAGACATCAAGACTAAGTGGCTAAAGCACATTTAATACTCCTAGAAGTACATACATTAGGTCTATCTGGATAAAGGTTAAACGTCTAGGTGCATAGAAAAAGCAGGAGTTTGAATTTGTAGGGAAGATTTTACAGCAGTTGAAGCAAAAAGGAAAGCCGCGAGCAGCCGTGAACACTGCGTGTGAAAGCAGTCTCTCAGCACAGTT